ATTAGTACTCAGCATGACTGTGGAGTTAAACCCAAAGAACAAGAAGGCAGTGCCCTGTGGTCACAGGGCACAGTCTGCACTCAGCTGAATTCCAGTTTTGTCACTTATAAAGACAATGATCTTATACAAATTACTTGCCCTGTCTTAACCCAGGAGCTTCAATATAAAATGGGAGAACTGCGACTTTCCCTGGTAGAAGGTACAAACAGCACTCAAGAGCGGTGGTGGGTGCTGACTCTGGCAAAGGGTTCGAGGATAATAACGGGTAATTTATCCTCACTGGTGACCATTGGTGGTAGAAATGGATCAAAATAGAAAAACACATCTCCTTCTTTCCCAAGAGTGCCTCCCACCTAGACTTTTTATTTCACATGCCTCCCAGCTATCAGGCATCAAAGCCTCCACACCTGCCCCAGGATTTCTCTTTCTGAATTCTGGTTCTCCTCTTTGCTGATTATCCTCAATAGAAGTGTCACCACAGTTAACAGATCAGGAAAGGAAGGGGCTCACATCACAAGACAGCCTGTGGTCAAATAAGGAAGAATGCCTCCACTGCTATTGAGTCACTGGTGGAACAGACTCCGGAGGAATTCTTGGTAAAATGTCAAGCAGGATGAAGCCCAGGCAGGGGAGGGGGTATGTGACTTCATGCTGGGACAATGAACTTCAAATCCATTACACCTTGAACAAAACATTCCCTCAGTGAGAAGCTACTGGTTATTGATGCTGCAACACCACACACCATCAAAAAGTAGATGAAGTGGGAATCCTGAGCATCATTAGAAAGAGAAAGAATGTACCCTTTCTGCCCATGGAGAAACAATCCAGGCAGGGTTAGGCAGTATGACGGGAAATTCATGATATCTCACTGCCCTTTGAATGCTGAGAAAGCACGGTATGGTTTTATTCTCAAGAGACAACATGATGTGGACGTGAAAAACGCATAAATAGTGGAACCCAAGTGTCTGAGCTGGAATCCTAACTCCTACTTTTACTACCTGTGTAATATCGGACAAGCTACCCAGGCTCTCTGGACCTCGGTTTTCACCACCTGAAACATAAGGATAGCAAATGAACTATTGTTACCCATGTTCCAGAGGGTTCTTATTTCCAAGAATGAACTTCCAAGGTAGCATACTGCTGGGTATGCAAGCAGTGCCACACACATTCAACTCACTCAAAAGCAGCTTATCCACATCCTCATGCTTAAGAACTGACACTGTCATTGTCAACCTTAAAGATGCTTTCTCTTGTTTTTTAAGTTGACTACCTACAAACTCAGTTGTTGACCAAGATACTCTTATCTTGATCATGAAGACTGAACAGGTCTAAATTCTGCAGATCATTCTGATACAGTAAAAATGAAACTGAAGGCTTTTTCATACAGCTGATAAATCACAATCAAGCCCAGAACAAATCAGAAAAAAATGGATTTTTTTAACAGAGCACCCACTGCATCCAGTCATTTTCTAGGCTGTTGTGCATGTTCTAATGAGAAGTATAGAGTGGAAGTTACATGGGGTTGTGCATGCCTTTGTTCTCAGCCTTCTGGAGGCTAGGGCAGAAGATAATGAGTTCAAGGCTTTCCTCAATCACATGCTTAGATAGTATCTCCAAAAAAAGTATTACTTTTTTTAAAGCCACCAAACAGAATAGTAGTACAAGTAGGTTTGTTCCCTTTACAGCTGAATAAAGTGACAATAGAATATTCACTATGGCTGCCCCTGGTCTTCCATTTTGAAGGCTCAAGAACCCACTTTTGCCAGCATATCCTTTCATTCAACAATTACTTATTAAGCACCTTTGGTTATGGCAGCAGTGAAACACCCCAATGAGGTACAAAAGTTAATTGTACATGAATCATTAGCTATAATGCATAATGTGAATAGGTCAGATATTATACAAAGGTCAAAATTAAGACAAGAACTTGGTAGGTTCATAGTCCAACTTCAGTAGTCATTTACTGCTTTATAAACTAAAAGTAGCACCTGATGCTACTACAATAGTAGCATTAGGAGTACAACAGGAGAAAAACACGGGAAAATTGTCAGTCAACATTTAGATTGCCAGAAAATAAACATCTGAATCAATATGGAAGCCAAATGCCTCATGTTATTTAATTTCATACAAAAATAGTATCCCTGGGCTCCTGGAGAGATGGCTCAGTGGTTAAGAGCACGTGCTGCTTGCTCTTCCAGAGGAAGAGTTCAGTTCCCAGGCAACATCCATGGGCACTCCATTCATGTGGCCTTACAACACAGACACACACACAGACACACACACACACACACACACACACACAAATAAAAATGTCTTCAAAAAGACCCCCCCCAATTTATTTTTAAATAGCATCATGGTAAACTGAGACACGTTTCCCTCAATTCATGGAGAGTGTGTCTTCTGGCACAGAGATGCTCAAGGTTTTGTTGATATTTAAACATAGAGGAAACTGTTCTCATACTTTCACTATGCTTTGTTGGACAGAACAAGATAATCTCACATCTGAGGTAATGGGATTCCCTACTGAGAAGGTTTCTTAAGTCTTCAGCTAGACAGGGCTTTACGTTGGCTGTTAAGTCCAAGTTCTAAATCTCATTCTTACAGGTCTACAAGAGGGTCACAATTAATGCAGCCATGGCGGATCTCCATGATGTACTTGCCCTCATCTGAAAGAACAGGACCAAGGAAGCTACAGGGATACTAACTTATGCAATGATAAGTACAGCACCATCTCCATCCAGTGACTAAAATGAATGAAACCCCAAGTTTCAGAGGAGCCACATAATCCCAGGTTATTTACCTGTGTTATCTTACAGAGAACAAAGAGATCTACAGGACCTTTCCACTCAATCTTTGTAGGAAAGATGAATAAAAGTTTGTTTGTTAATACATTTGCTGGTGATCAAACCTGAGGCTTCATACATGCTAGAAAGTACTCTACCACTGAGCTACATCCCCAGCCACTAAAAGACATTGTGTGTGTGTGTGTGTGTGTGTGTGTGTGTGTGTGTGTGTGTGAGAGAGAGAGATACGGCAAGACCAAGATTAAGGTTAAAAAATATGACCAAACATTAATCGGAATACAGTCTATAAAGAAGATGAAATTCAACTAGGTAGTTAAACAAATTTTCACAATGTGAATTTTTAAAATGGGTACTCTACACTGCAAAAGAAGTGTTCTGTATCTGTTCTTTTGGTGATATGGCTCCAGGAACCACCCCAGCACCTAGATGTTACTAGGTTTTCTTTAACTATTTTCTGAGTAGGTAAACGCATGCATATACACATACTAATCACTACCATGAAAATTTTAAATCTAGGAAAACGAATACTTTAAATTTAAAGGTGAATGATACTTGAGCTTAAAGCTGGGTATGGTAGGTAACACATGCCGATAATCCCATCACTTAGGAGGCCAAGGCAGGAGAATTGCCACAAGTTTGAGACTAGTCTGAGTTCAAAGTCAGTCTGTTTCACTATATATAATCAACAACAATAAACATTATTTGAATTTATGAAAGGAATAAAAGGATGATCTTCACTTCGGGATATGAATTAACCTATATTACTACAAAGAGAAAATTAATTTACAAAATAAAACTTCACAAAAATTGTTAGAAATGTCTACAAAACTTTGATCCATTTGCCTAAAATCTAGTAAGAATTATAAGGCTGAGCATGGTGGTGCATCCCTTTAATCTCGGCGCTTGGGAGGCAGGGGCAGGCACATCTCAGTGAGTTTGAGGCCAGTCTGATCTACAAAGTGAGTTCTAGGCCAGCTGGAGCTACAGGGAGACCCTGTCTCAAACAAAAACAAACAAAAAAGAATTATGAAAACTTAGTCCAGCTCCTGGCACCAACAGACCTGGGCTGCTCTCAACTTTGGTCAGAGAATCTTCCTTCAAAGTGGACAGCAAGGGAGAGATCACAACTAGTCAGTGTGCCGACAATAAGTGACTGTATGCTCAACCCTAAACAGGATATCTGTGTTAACCCCTCACTCCTCCACACACAGACTCAGGAACATTGCAGAAGAGGAAACAGAAAGAACGTAAGTGCCAGAAGATGGGGAAGAGTGGTATGAAATGCTGTCTTCTAGACGTGACACAGCTATCAAAATGATGAACTCACAGCAGCTATGGTTACCTGCAAAAGACCTACATGAGACTGACCCAGGCAAAATCCCAGTACAGATGGAGCAGGTGAGCTTCAAATCCCTTCCCATACTCAGGAGCTATTGACAGTGGATAACTGCTAGGGGAGAAGAATCATTCTTTACTGAGGATGTGGCCACTGCTAAGGTTTCCCATGCTCCAGTGGATGACACAACACCCATGCATCTATGGGCAGCACTAAGTAACAGGCTATCAAAAAATGCAAAAAACAAAAACATGAAGTTGTGAGGAGGATGTATTGGTGAAACACAGGGAGAGTTGGAAGGGGGGAAAGGGTTAGATATGATCCTATTTCATTGTATATATGTATGAAATTCTTAAAAATAAAGATAAATATTAAAAAAGAATTATAGACTGTGAAAGATAATTTAGACTAATAAAATAATTACATATGAAGTGTATGCATATTACACACAGCACCATCTATCTGAAAATCTGTAATACGGTGACATCAAGACAAAATTCCACAATTTTGACTCTAAAGAAGCCTTCTGAACAGTAAATGAATTGGGTTATTAGTTTTTTGTTTGTTTGCAGGGCCTTACAGATTATGGTACCTTCAATTCTAGACAGCAAAAATCTTCAGTGATACCTTTCATATACTCATCATCTGCACCATCGTACTGAGATCAATAGTTACCTGATCCTGTAATTGCAGAGACTGGTAAGCCGACTTTGCCATAGACACTTGATATAAAGTTTCCTCACCCCCTCATAATTCTGTATATATGCCTGGTGAATATTCATGTTGTTGTTTATCATTATCATAAACTAGTATGGTTTATGACAGCACTGAGAAGTCATAAGGGAACTGACAGAACTCACCAAGCACGATGACCACGGTCTTCAGAAGGCTCATCATGGTATCCCGATTCCGTCTGGGTCCAGAACTATGCCGGGACATTCTCATAGTCCTCTGGCGAACATAGCCAAAGATGTGAGCATAGAGAACCACCATGACCACAAAGGTCACCAGGTTGAAAATGGCCCAGAAGACTAAGTAGGAGTCACTGTAGAGGGGCGCCATGTTGGAACAATGATCAATATCACAGATGCAGTTCCAGCCAACACTGGGTATGGCACCCATAACAATGGCCATAGTCCAGATGACCACAATGACCACCACCACTCGCCGGTTGCTCATTCGTGTATGGAGCTGCATGCGGAAAACAGTGATGTGCCTCTCGATTGCAATAGCCAGTAGGTTGGCCACTGAGGCTGTCAGACTGGTGTCGATGAGGCCCTGCCGGAGGAGCCATGTGCTGACAGTCAGTCTCCGAGTATTGGGTCCTGTGTTGAACATCAGATAGAAGTAGGCCAATCCAGCAAAGAAATCTGCAGCAGCCAGGTTGGCCATCAAGTAATAAATAGGGAAATGGAAGCGGCGGTTGACGTAGATTGCCACCATGACCAGTAAGTTGGCCAGCATGATAAAGATACAGACAGTGATCCCAAGCCCCATCACCAGCTTGCTGACTGTGTTCCATTCGGTGGCAAGATACTTCCCACTCCGGTTATAAAAGAAGGCAATGGACTCATTGTAGAAGCACTGTGGTTCATTCATGGCTGTGAACTAGAAGAGAAAGAAGAAGAGTAAATAAAAGAAACCACAGATCCAAATTTAAGGGTATACAGATAATACAAGACTTCTATAGAACATGTAGGAAAAAAAAGCAAAGAATTTCAAAAATCTGACCCAGAATAATGTTCAACAATTATACTGGTTTCTTAGTGCTCAAAATTAAAGACAGTGAGACTTAAATAAATGACAAGGTCTCTGTTTGATGGTTGCATGTCACTGGAGTTGACAAGAAAAGCCACATAGTACAAAAATCTTGCTTAAAATACATGAGACAGCCAAAAGTTTTGAAGAACCTTGCAATTGGACTATTTATCCTAGTGAAACCTACTCTGACCTGTTATTTAGGGACTAGTAAACACAGACAGTTCTAGATACAGCATCATTAGCTCATTATTCTGTATTTCTGTCCTCATAGAGTGTGTCCAACCCATGACAGACATTTTGTAAAATAGCTCCCATAAGGAGCATCAGTCCCAACATTCAAAGGTCACTATGCATCAAAGGTTCTTAGGCCAAGGCCAGCACGTGCTGTTCAGCATTCCTGTGGTCAACACAGCCTACCCAATGACTCTTTATCCCCAGAATAGCATCCATCAACCAAGCTGTAACTCTTGAGAACTTTCTTTCCCCTTGGAGGACTTAATATAAGCAGTGGATAGTTGATACGGCTCCATCAGAAGTAAAATATAATTAGATTAGATGAAGGGTATTCAAATGTCGAGAGAGAATGCTTTATAATATATTTACTTACTTTTCGCCATCAATGCCTGGAATATATTTGTACACACACTGCAATCCAGAAGGGATTGAGGCAGTCTAAAATACTATAATATATATATTATAAAATATATCTTGTAAGATGTATATTCTCCTTCTAACCTTCAAAAGTTCATCTAAGACTTCTGTAATAGAAAATATTCCCTGAAGACATTCAAATTCTTTTTCTGTTTCTCTTGTTGTTTCTAATAAATTACTAAGCAAATATGATTGTTTAAGTGTGTGTGTGTGTGTGTGTGTGTGTGTGTGTGTGCGTGTGTGTGTGTACACTAGGAATTAAACCTAGGACCTTGTGCATACTAGGCAAGCACTCTACCACTGAGCTACATTTCCAACTCTCTTTCACTTTTTTTTTTTTTAGGCAGGGTCTCCATGTAGCCCCAGCTGACTTGGAACTCACTATGTAAACTATGCTGGCCTTCAACCCACAGCTATCCACCTGCTTCTGCCTCCAGAGTGCTGGAATTTTAAGATAGTCTCACTACATTGCCAGGGCTGGCCTAGAATTCACTATGTAGCCCAAGCAAGCCCTGAGCTTGTAATCTTCCTGCCCCAACCTTCCAAGTACCTGGGATTACAGACCTGTACAACCAGGCCCACCCTAACCATTATTTCTTATCAATTAGTCTACTAAATATTCAAAAGTTGTGCATAAATGTTTACTAAACATGAAAAATTCCAGTCTCCCCCATTTAAAAAAAAAAAAAAACAGTGAGAGATGCTCATGTGATTAGTCTTTTGACTTATCCAAGCACCTAAAGTCTTTTTCCTCATCTTGAGGTTAATAACTTTCAGGTCACACTAAATGTGATATGTTGCATAGTTGTTTATCTCATTATTTTTCTGTTCATTAAAGACACCACACTTCAGCAAAAGTGTATGGATTTGTCTTATTCTCTTGGCAATCTCTACATCATTCATGATGCCTCACTCACTAGAAACCGCAGAAGCTGCTTGCAGTGTTCTATCTGACCCCAAATCTTGCCATGACTCTAGGCAGTTCATCTCTAGGTGGTTCATCCACTTTTCTGGCCTCTCATTTCCTTGACTTCATCTCTAGTGATTGTCTTCTATTCCATTACACCCCAGTTGCCTTCACCCATGGTCACACCCCCAAATGTTGTCACCACCCAGAACTATCTGATTTTACAAATACTTGGGACATCCTAATAACTCATTATAATTTCTCATTCTGCAACTTTTCTCATTTGACAGCCAGGGCATCTATTTTTTGAAGATATCTATTTCCTTGATCCAATGGAATAACATCCCCCTTTTTCCACTTTCTCTCTGGTCCATTTCAGATTCCACAGTAATTGATGGCAGTCTTTTATTGTGGACATAGTAACACAAGTCTCTTCTTGAAGACATTAAGGTGAAATGTCTTTCAGAGATCAGAAATTTATGATTTTAACAATAGCTATTGTATTTGTTACTTTTCTCACTGCTGTGACAAAATAAGAGACAAAAGCCACTTCAGGAACAGCTCATCTTGGCTCACAGTTTGAGGGTCCAGTCCATGATGGAAGGGAAGCCACAGTGGAGGGAGTGTGAGGCAGCTGGTCAGGTGCATTCACATTCAGAAATCAGAGTGTGATTGCTGCTGGAGCTCAGTTTGCTTTCTCCTTTTCATTTGGTCCAGGTCGCCAGCCCATGGAAAGCTGTCATCCATATTTAGGGTAGATCTTCCCAACTCAGTTAACTCAATCTAGAAGTTTCCTCACAGGCATGCCCAGAGGTTTGTCTCCTAAGTATTTCTAGATCCTGTTGGTAATCTATATCAACTGTCACTGCCCTAGAGTACATATTCCAGGTATAAGAAACCCAATAGAGTTTGAGGCAACTCCATATCACACACATCAAATGTTTGTGAAGTAAAACATGGACATAATTTGATAAGCAAAGCCATCAATTCATTCAGAGATTTGTCAAATAAGTTAGAAAAAGGCTTCAGTTTCTAGATTTTCTTGATTTTTAGAATATTTAGATAAGGAACCAAAGGGTTTTTCATTTAACCTATTTGTACTTCCAAAACAGTATACGAGAATAACATCAGTGTTGCAGGAATCCAATTCATTTCAACTTCCACATGTACCAAGGTTTCTGAGAAAGGTTGGAGGAGATCCACACATCTTCCAATTTTTAAATTTAATTTATTTTATTTTATTTGAGACAGGATCTTTCAGTGTAGCCCAGGCTGGCCTGGTGCTCACTATGCAGCATTAGTTGGCCTTGGACTTAGACAACCCTTTTGCCTCAGCCTCCTAAGTGCTGAGAGTAGGTTGTGAGTCACCATGCTGGGCAACTGCAGATTGATATCAGTGCAAGCTCGTGATGTATCTCCTCAGGTGAAACTTAGGTTTTCTCCCTAATTATTATTCTGCATTCTACACAATGAGTATTTAAACTTATCTGTCAGCCTCAATTTTTGAACCTCTTCTCTCCATCAGTAATTGTCATTGGAAAATAAAGACCATCTGACTAGGAGTCTGTGATTTTTCTCCCTCCCAAAAGACAAAATTACCTATTCAATTTCCATCCTTTTCTCCTCATCGGTTATAAGAGGAGAGGTGTGCCCTTTGCCCGCCACCCCCCCACCAAGTGCTCAATGCCATCATTCGTTCCCATTTCAAGAACTCTGAGTTACCAATTGCTTCCTTTCTCCTCCATCTTCAGTTCTATCCCTTTCTCTCTGTCGCCCCCCTGCCCCCTTTGCCTCTAACACCATTGCTGCTTCCTCATTAACGTTCATAATTTGCTGTCATCTTAAAAGGGGGTTAGGGGTCCCATGGACTCCATCCAGCTGGCCAAGTTTCTTTTTTCTCCTTTATAGCTAAGTCCTCTCTGATATCTGCCTCCCCCTGATTTTTCGAAGGATGGCTATTACTCTGGCCCATTAAATGCACTCCCTATTCCAAAGTCACTCTGTTTTTTGAATGGCCTTTCCAAGAAACGGTGAGGCCCACACCTTTCACTTTCCCAAAGCATCAAATACATGACCAGTGGCTCTTTCTGGAAAGGACTCTTTCCTTGGCTTCCAAACATTACATTCTTTAGGTTTTAATTGTTCTCTCTGGCTAGTCTGTCTCAGTCATTTTTGAGAGCTCCTTTTCCTCTGCCCAATATAGATGTTTGTGCATAGTTTATATTCTAATTCATTCAACACATGTTCACTGAGTTATATCTTATACCCAAGATTTCAACATATCTGCATATCTCATATACTCCCAAATCTGTCTATTTAACCCTTCTTGAGCTCTATGCAAATATTGAATTGTCTTCCAGTTGATCTGTTGACTATCTCATAAGAGCCTCAGTGACAGTGTTCCAAACCATCCTAAACTCATTATCATCCTCATGATCCAACATACTTGTCTTACAGAAGATCTCTCTCCTAGAGAGTAGAAAATCACTCTGTCCAGTGACTTGCATGTTGAACTTGGAACTTCGTCCCCATCCTCATCATTTTAATCAATAATTAAGTCTAGGAAATTCTCTATTCTAAATATCTGCTGAGCCTGTCTACTTCCTTCTGTCCTCATCCTTCTCACCACTACATTGGCTTCCAAAGTGTTCTTTCCACCCAGTGCCAATCTCTTTCTGGAGACTTTTCTAAAAAAGAAAATTATCCAAGCTATTCCCCTATTAAAACTGCTCATGGATTACAAGTGTGTTAAGATGAAAAACTGAACTCCAACCATGTTATCAGGACATAACCCCTCTAAACCTCAACTCAAGCTAGGAATGGCTTCAAATCCCCTCCTTCAGCGCTGCCTAATGGGCTGTGCTTTCTCTTACCCCTGCTTCCAGACATCAATGAGAACAGTCGCTTCTTATATCCAAATTACCTAGGTCTGTAAACACCTCATAGCTGGCCTTGTTCCCCAAAGCTCAGATTCAGTAGATTGAAGGCAGGGTTCCAGTCAGGCTTCTAGTGCTGGATCAGTGACCACCCTGTAAATACCTCAAACTTTCCCCAGTTTTCGTCAGTGAAATGTTTGTTGTTCCTTCTAATCTTTCCCCTCAGACAGTCTTAAGTCTGAGCAAGGTATTACCTACCAATAGTCTGTGCTTCCTCTATCACAGTGTTTAATTCATTGTCTAATAATTGCTGAATTATCTGTTCACTCTCCCCTAACAGGCTAGAAACCCTATGATATAGATTGCCTGCACGTACGTAAGTGCACCCATGTCATGCAGAAGAGAGCATCAGA